GTGGTGATCAGCAATTTGATATGTTCAAATGTCTACTGTGAAGGATATCATAAAGCCTTAATGCAATCGAATGTAAAACAAAAAAGTTACGATTGATGAAAGTAGTAAATTGGTCAGATTTGACCCGAGGACAACAAGAGGGTTAAAAGGGCATGAGGTTCCAGGGCTCTGTGCACAAAACATGGAAATAGGAACAAAAATGGGAAAATTAAGTCAAGAACACCCGACTAAAGTCTGAACAGGTTGGACCGCCCAATTGTAAACGTAAAGAAATAAAAGCCATTTTAAGTAGCTTCAGTAGTGGATATAAAAGAAACAAAAAAAGGATGCATGGGACGCTATAACTAATTGAGTGAGACACCTGATGAATTAAGAATATAAGTGGTATGATTTCTAAAATGGAATGGTTTACAATCAACAACATTTATTATTTATTTTCAACAAGACACTTCGCTTTAAGAAGAAGTGAGAATGCAGAGAATTATTATGCTCACCACATTTCTTTTGTCGGTTTTAAGGGGGCCTTATTATAAACATTTTCAGGTTCATATATTTGTATTCTGTTCATCTACTGTTACATGTTTACATGTACATTAATCTTCAATACTTTTCCCATACTGCCTGTGCTGCAGCATCTCTTTTGAGGGTGAAAAGAAGCAGGCTCTGTTGTGATTGGTCAACTGCTTAGAGCTGCACCGCCCCTTAGCCTGTCACGTACAATGTGTTGGAGCGTTAGCCAATAAAAGCACGAGTGTCTATATAACACACTACAGGTAACAGTAAACAACCAAAAAAGGATAAAATAATTTAAATTTAAATAATTTAGTAAATAATTAAGGCCCATTGGTAAGTATATGTATTAAGAATCTGGGCACATATTTAAAATGAAAACAGGTTTCTTTGTGGTGAATGTAAAACTGCCTGTACTATCAGGGAGAAATCATTAGTTTCAGTACCTCAAAGCGCTGACAGCTACCGTCTGATAGCTTCATCTGCATCAGAACAGATGGCTGCAGGGCTCGGGCTAAAGAGCTGGGGAGATACAGAAACACACTCAGTTACAATAAAAACAACAAAAACATTTAAAAAGCTTCAGGATTCTGGTTGTATTTTGAAAATCTGCTACTTAGTAATTATTTATCTATTATCTAATACAGTGGTTCTCAAATGGGGGTATGCGGACCCCTAGGGGTATGTTGGAGTACTGCAGGGGGTACGTGAGATTTATTTTATGTTTAAAAAAAAAAAAAAAAAAACATATTTCAAAACGCGAAGTGTAATAACTGCAGTTGCCTCCCTGTCAGAATGACAAAGATCCTCAGTGAAGCACAAGCCCATGTTTCTCACTAAATTGTAAGTACAACTTATTAAAAAGATCAGTTCAATGCATGGGCAACTAATGTCGTCTTAGTGTTATTGTATGATGTTAAAATTGGTTTGCCATGAATTTAGTGATGGATTGTAAACATTTGAAATGTAGCATTTAAGTGTTTCTCAGTTACAAGGTTGTTGTTTTAATAAATCAGACACCGATGGTGCAGCGCTGTACTGTACCTCTTTATATAGGCATTTCTTCCTTAACAAATAGTTTTTGAGCTGATCAGGGGGTACTTGGCTGAATATTTTTTTCAAAGGGGGTACATTATTGAAAAAAGTTTGAGAATCACTGATCTAATATATCATTCCAATAACTTGTATATAGACTCGTTCTATTCTATCTATTCTATCACTATTCCACTTTTTTTAGAACTATTTTTCTTCTGTATTACTTTTAATATAATATACTTTAATATTGCTTTAATATTGTATGCTTATCTGTATTATTGTGTTGCATTGTTGGAGAAGCCTGTGACCTAAGATTTTCAACGACATAATTACTCTGTAGCTATGTTAGTTTGACAATAAAGAACCTTGAACCTTGAAAAGCAAAAACATGTCTTGCCCCTCTGTATTCGATACATTACCTTGTAGAAATTGTAACATCTACTCTCCATTTAAAGTCTTCCATTGTGGGGAGGTGTGGATCGTTTTGAGAGGTAGCTGCATCGAGAGCTGCACGTCTGCAAACATAAAGCAGTGTACATGATGCTATAATAATATAACCATGAATGGCATTCATAGCCAACCACAATACTGATGAAAACAAGTTTCAGTTAGACTTAGAAAAAGGCATGCTTTCTTCACTATGGCCCACCCATCCACACTCACTCCTTGACAGAGTGAACTCTGACTGTCTCACTCTCAGCTGAATGAGGCTTCTTCATTAAGGTGGAGACTGAAAATAAAGCGGCAATTTTTGGACAAACTCCCATGTTTCTGGCAGGACCGGGAACTGTCGTAATTCTTCTCTTGGACGAAAAATAACAAATTATAAAACTGCAAAAATATATTCTCTTGGTTTTTTTAATGACTGTGTTAAAATGTAATTTTTCTGTTGCACTTTCTGTTAATGCTTTTAATGTTTTTATTTGCACATTTTGCAGTAAAGCATTTTGAATGGCCTTGTGTTGTAATGGGCTATACAAAATATATATACATAAAAAAAAAATATATATATATGTTAGAAAATGTACCTTTGAAGTTCTTAACATCTGAATGAAAATATTAAAAGGTCCATCTAATTTTGGGGCGTTTACTAATAAATGTTTGCAGAGACATTCTACACAGCATGTTCAAGTGACGGATAGAAACAGCAATGCACCTGGTCAGGTAGGGGCAGCTGGTTAAGTCAAGTCTAGCACACTTCCTGTTTGAGATTTTAATAACTTCCACTCTCCACTAGTGTTTAGAAACAACACCAAATGTGTTGGAAGAACCTCACAAACATTCAAAAAGGGTGGAATTCAGTAAGGGGGAGGATGTAGGGGTTGGTTGGAATTGGGCCTGAGTTTAGACTGTTTCTATGCCTTTATAAATCCAACATACCTGCTTCCAAAGACCACACTGGAGAAATCTGTGATAAAGTCTTCAGGTATCCTAGGTAACAAAACATAATCATTTATCATCTCAGGTTGAGAGTGTGTTGTGTATAAGCCAGCAGAGGTAATGCATGAAAACATAGAAGATGTGTTAAAATGATGACGAGCCTTGCCTCAGTTCTCTAAGATCTTCTTTGAAGGCCTAAACAGGGACACAAATCAAGTGTTAAGTATTTTCAATATTCAATTATTAAGATCTTACAATGTGTAAGAAGATGCTTTTGAAGCGGCGGGAACAAGGAAGTGTGTCCTTAGATAACCACAAGAGGTGGAATTCAGCACTAGTACATTTTTAGTATTAAAAAAATATATGTTTGTACTGTGGCCTGTTAAAATGTCTTCTGTCAGAACAACTTAGGATGTCAATAATCTCTGAAAGTCAATGTACGCAAATGAGAGGAAAAAGGTACTATAAAATTGGTGGGAATAATAATAGAGTTTTTGAGTATACAGTCCAATGTCAACAGCATGCAATAAAGACCAATCTCGTGTCTTGTAATAGAAAAAAAGAGCATGTGAATATAACAGTAATGATTGTTTTTGTTGGATTTAGGCACATTGGGAAATCATGACCATAAACTGGTTATTATTAATGCTCCTGTAACATGTCAAAATGTGTACTGTGGGAAAGACCCATCTCTTAAGTGCACACAGACTGAGACTGTGTCAGCATGTTCATAATGTAATTTCCAGTGTTTTACAGCAGCTCACCTCCTGCTTTAGCGACAATGTGGGGATGCGGATGGCCTCAGACAGCACTCTGTGCATCCCAGCCACGATGTAACTGAGTCTCTCCTGGGGGATGACGCTGCTCTCTGCTATCGACTTCATCACCTCTCTGTTGTCCTTCCCCTCCAGGGCGCTGACCACAGCTGGACAGAAAAGAGTTCACAGGCATACTTACCTCTGCTATGGATTTACTTCATTTGTACTTGTTCAGGGATATTGGTCACTGTCACGGGGCCCCATTCTTTGGGCTGTTTTCATGAACTAAAAGCATATTTGAACACTTTTTAAATGTTCCATAAAATACAACTAGCTATTTGTCTTATCGCCAAGTTTGGGCGACAGATATTTATATTTGTTGTGTAAGTTTAAAAAAATAATATTGACAGAATTGACCATCTTTTGTATTTGTGAAATATTCCACATATTTTGGACAGATCTTGATTCTGTCTGTATTATTGGGTTCATGTTAGAACTTTTCAGGATTTTTGGGGGATTAATAGGCTTTTAGAAATGTGTGGAACTTTTTTCCGGGACACTGACTGATTATGATGATATAACATAATAACTTTTACTTTTTCGTTTAACGTTATAATGTATGCCCTTCACGGTGATTGTATTAGGTATATTTGTTCTGGTTGTGTTGCTATGGTTTAATTTTTTTTGTAAATGATCCTTTTCTCAAAAAATAAGTTTTTGCTCTACCTATTTATTAAAATCTCACAGTAAAAGTTGTTGGAACTCCGATATCATTACTCAATGAACACCTTATCAACGTTTTAAAACATTGTTAGTGGCTTTTACAATGCAATACAAAAATACATATCATACAGACGGCTGACCAGTTCTGTAATGAGTCATATAGACATTAAAAACAACTTTACCTTGCAAACAGCTATTTTACCTTTTAGTATTTTTCTGAACAACTCGTGGTCCACATCCTTCAGGTTTTTCGACATTAACTCGATTTCTGCGGGTATCCTGCCCCCCAAAAAGCTGGAGTCCTTTGTGTGGCTTAAAGACATGAGTACCATGCAATCATATGTTGTATTTTGCGATAACAAATAGCAAAATTGTGAAATTTTAAGCACAGAATGCTCTTTTTTTATGCTAGTTTTCTGTTTGTGTGACCACTTCCGCCTCACGTCACATGACAACAGTGTTGGCTCGCGGGAGTCTCGCGGTGACAGCTTAGCTCATCGCTGGAAAAGAAAGGATTTGCAAATGGAGGTGGCAGAAATGATCATTATTTGAACGACAAAAGGTTAGTGTTTTAATGTTTATAGCTTCTTTATAATAACTTTACCAGGTTTATGAGACCTTCAGGTGTGTTATTAATGAAAATGATTATTTAGAGCTCGTTTTGTGGCTAGGTAAACGCTACCTGCACATTTGAAGGATTAGCAACTAGCTAATGACGTTAGCTAGTGTTGTTTTCCAAACACAGAATATGCGCCTTGGTGAAAAATAATAGTACCGTATATGGTAATGTTTGAGTTATTAAAGCTAATGTAGCTTCCTTCTTTAATGGTGTATTCTTATTTTGTCTTGGTATGCTTTGCGTGACTGTCAAGCATCTTGTTGTGTTGTTAAGAAAAACAACAATTATGGGAGTTAGAGGCTTAACGTAGATGACATCTAGTATCAAAGATGAACATGAGAAGTGTCTTTAACATGCTTAAAAGCTCATTATTAGTACTTGTAATAATGCTAGCTTTGGCCACTAACGTCACTTATGTTACCAACAAAAGACCCAAATGTAAAGGAGCTCGTATTCCTGAGGTAACTGCTTGTATTTGGACGAAGTTTTGCTTTCTTCAGTGACCTACTGCCACATTTTTGTAGTTTCATTTTTGAACTACATTTATTAACAACAATGATTTACACATATGGAACATTTTTACAAGCAACAATGTTGAAGTCCATCAGATCAAGTTAAAACTGAACTAAATACCTTAAATATCATATTTGGTTTTGTTCATTGTGTCTGTATCTGTATATCAAGGTGCTTCACTGCTTTACCTCTGGAAAAGATCAGCAACTTTGTAAGAGTTGTCTATTAGATATTCACTTCCTTCCGCCCACACAACAGAATGTTTAATATAATTTAAAATACATTAATTTGCACATTAGGACACATATTCTAAAATTACAATTGCACACACTTTCATTTAACTCGATAAATAGTTAATATCTTAATTGTCCTTTTTCTTATTTTTTCGCAATACCTGTTTTTAATTTTAATACAATTGTCTGTTACTCTGTTATGATTTGCAGTACAGCAAATACATTCCTTGAGGGTAAAACCCTACTTGGCAATACACCATATTGTGGTTCAGCTGTTACTACCCTTTTAGAAAGCTTTTGGACAGTGTGTCTGTCAGATGTGTCTATATAATTTGGTGTTAATAATTCAGACTGTAGCTCTATTTATATGCACCCTATTATGTTTTGTTTGTCTTATCTTTGCCTCTGTTTTTGTAGATCCATCTGGCCATGTCTGAGTCTCTGTATGAGAAGTTTTTGGCACCAGAGGAGCCTTTCCCACTCCTCTCTCAAAGAGCCAACCTCAGTGATGTGGGAACTCTGGACGTCAGTGACTTTGGCTGTCAACTCTCATCTTGTCACAGAACAGACCCTCTGCACCGCTTCAACAGCAACAGGCAAGTAGACCAGTGGTGTGACCTTGTGTTCACATGTGTGTCATCAGTTTGTGAGGTCAACTGACTTTCAGGATGTTTTTTCAAAAGATTTTATCAAAATACCAACCTTAATGGTACAGTACTCAAAAGATGGATACACCATAAACTGCTGCAACATGTGGCAATGCAGCTATTGGTGGCATAACAAAAAAAATTTTTTTGTCCATACTCATACTTTGTTGTGATTTCGGCCATGGCTAATAAAAACATTGTTGGTATCTACAAGGAAATCAGCCCTGCCTCCTTGATGGGACGTCTAGTTTTACTGACGAGCGTTGTTACAAACGATGGCACGGTACACAATTAGCTTCATGTCCTGTGTGAACGCACCTTAACACTACCTGACCTTTTTTTACCTTGTTTTAAAGGAAGGAGGTTCTATACACTCATTGATAAGCTAAAGTCCATTCTGTTGACTTTAATAAGGACAATTATACAGTTCTCCAGACAAAAATGTAAAGAAGTCATATAAAATTCACATAAAATGTATAGTTTATTCAGTATTATTTGCATTTCTTTGGTGGCAAGTCTCAGAAAAAAGGTTAAGTGTGAAAAAGGTGCCACTGGAAATTAGCTGTGAACCGTATACTCTGTGACTCCTGCATCCATGTTTTTGTTGACATTTTAAAATAATTGACATAGCTGAAATGTACTTCCTTATCTTGCCTGCACCCTCCCCCAGTCTTGAAAAACCTTCAGATCAATTTCCATGACTTACTCCTAGAAAGTGCACTGACGTGCTGTCATTGTTGTCCGCAGGTGGAACCTCACTTCCTGTGGGACGAGCGTGGCCAGCTCAGAGTGCAGCGAGGAGCTCTTCTCCTCCGTGTCTGTGGGGGATCAGGAAGACTGCTACTCCCTGCTGGACGACCAGGAACTAACATCTCTGGACCTGTTTCCAGAGGGCAGTGTCTGCAGCGATGTCTCCTCCTCCATCAGCACATATTGGGACTGGTCCGACAGCAGCGAGTTTGAGTGGCAGGTCGGTGGCATTATCTAACTCGGATGGCATTTTTTTTTTTTGCACTCAGCCCGTGTAGTTTTGCAGTGAACAAGCAGATTGACGTAATTGGTATGTTAGCTTTAGCAAATTGATAAAAGAGGAAAAAAGAGATGGTATTAAACCAGGAGACAAATATTATCCCAAAAGAAAGTTACTTAACCTGTTAAGCCCCAACTTTTTTTTTCAGGTTTCAGGCCCCTGAGACACAGTGTCGTGAAAAAAAAAAAAAAGTACCCACCGGCGGGGACCTTGGGGTTTAACAGGTTAAGTAATATGATTATTCTCTTTAGCTTATATGCTATAACTCTCTGCAAGAAATCGATTCAATCAAAACGCAAACTACAGTATTCGGTGTGTGGGAGAGAAACAGATATGTTACCCTTTGCAGACTATGCACATGCACTAAAACCTATATAACACACTAAAGGAAAGGGAAAACTCATAAAAGATACTAGGGCCTCTTTAAGCCAAAGTGTATTATTTGTCCAACGTATAGATTTACATTTTAATTTGGATTTCCAAACCCAACCCATCCAGTGAAGACTCTCACGGCCCACATGGTCCTCTCCTCTGGTGAGGGTTTCTCTGTGTAATGGTCTAATATTCATGACATGTCTCTACCGTTTAGCTCTGCCGCTCTCACCATGTCATGTTCTTTCTCATTATGGTGAGTTAGTGGAAATGACAGGGTACAAGAGCAAAGAACTTTTTCATTTCTTTGTATATCCCCCTTCCTTTTAAAGTAGAAAGAAAGGATAACATGCAACACAACAGAAGAATGAACAGATCATTATCAACCTACTCCAATGAAAGCAGGGTTTATGCAGGAATCCTGAAGTCAGATGTAAAACCTTTCAAGACCTTTTTTAAGACCCTTTCCGTACATTTTAAGACCTCATCGCCACTTTGAGTTTTAACTGGTTACTTTGGCGACACACTTCACCTCACATTGACTATATACAGTATTGATTGTCCTTCCTCCTTATCTTCCAACCATTTGGACGCAAACTTGCATTTCCCCATAACGATGTTGTTTAGCAACCGGCGTAAACGGACCTATCA